CTAGGTGCAGGTTATGCAAGGGAATGATTACTGAAATGGAAATGTAAAAGATGGAAATAATTTGGATTAGGTTAGGAATACTGTAGATAGGTAAGGGGACTGTCTCGAGTGAAAAAAAAAAAAAAAAAAATTTTGAAGTTATATAATAACATTATTTATATATGTAAAATTATAATAATTATCTATTTATAATTGCCATAGTGAACAATAGTGAGCGGTGGTAGGTAACTCGTTAAATAAGCCTTAAAACCTACATAATTTTGGTAGTCTTAAACATTCGAGTAGCATTTTTTTTTACAGAGCGGTTAGCAACTCTTAAAATAAGCCTAAAGCTATGCTAACTCATTCACATTAGATATTATTTATGTATTTGTTTTTCACTCAATACTTGATTAGTGATAGGGGATTGTCTAGAGTCAGTCATAATTATGAAAAAGGGTGACTCAAAGACATTGATTTCAGTTAGTCTTATATTGAAAAGGCGAACTGTATAGTCAGATTAGGGTTATTAATCACTAGTTGGGGAGTGAATAATATGAATATGGTTTCCACATATATTTAGTATCAATATATATTTATTATTAATTTACATAACTTAATATTTATTTCAATAAACAGTAAACATGGTTATGTGGTTGATGGAACTATGCTAGGTTGTTGTTGGAAGGTAGTGTTTGTGAGACTTATGATGACTGCTGACTCTTCTCTTCATTTTCTTTTCTATTTCTTTGATTTCTTTCTATGGTCTGATAGGGATGGTTGCGATAGTGGGATTTATGTGGAATATTAGGGAATTATTTATATTTCTATGATGTATGTAATTTATGCAGGAAGAGCTGATTGTGATTGATCCAGAAAATCGTCACCTATACATTATTTATTTATTGAAAATTTTCTCATTCGAGCACATGTCTTTTAGATAGATAAGTTTTATTTTGATGTTGAGGTTTTCCTTAAAAGTTATTTTTGGTGGATGTTTAATTTAGTTATAAGATGAAAACTGTTAATGTTGCTTTGAGGATTGTTCAGTTATTCTTTCAGTTTGACTTGAGACTTGTAGTTTTTTTTTAAATCTTAGTATTTGTTTTGATATTTGATCTTTACTGCATTTCTTCAGTTTAGTAGTTTACGGCTGAGGACAGCCGTGAATTCACCAAGGTGAATTCTGTGTGCTTGGGGGATATTGTAACGTGTGATTTCATCACTTTGTCGAAATTGTTGTTTTTCTAAAGACTAGGCTGCATGTCCTATGAACCTTTGCCTTTTCGAAAGGTCGAATCAAAAAGTTAACTTCATTTGGTCGGACTTGTCATTTGAGATTGCCGCCGGTTCGAATCGACATTGGATAAATTAGTTTTTTGTAGATCCATTATCTTCGACTGTGCATGGCTAGAGGTTGAATCAGAACACGTTCCTGGTCGTATTATTTGTGATTGCTGTCTGGGAAACTCTGTGCTGGATTTGTTATCCCTCTTGGTGGATGCTGAAGGCATAGGTGGCTGGCAAGCTGGTCTGAGCTGCTGCTCTATTAAATATTGTTTTTTTACCTCCAGTTGGTAAGTGTTTCACATCTTATAATTGTAGGTGGATTCAAATCCCTGCCTTTGTTAGTTCTACAATGTAGTGTTTGTTGGCAGGAGGTCTCCTATATACCCCCAACAGTGTGGCTGTACACACTACACTTGGCCTGACTTTCTCTACTGGTTCTGAGCTCAACGCTGACCTGTGCACACAGGGCAGGTGTCTCTGCGGTGACATGGATTTTAAATAACTACCTGATTGGACTTAGTTTTTAAATTGAATTGCATAAGTTTTACCATTTCAAATTAATTTAATTATTTAACCTTTTATGGTCGCACAAAGTAATGTGTAGGTCCTATGTACTCACGACTCCCTGAGATACTTAATTGTGATTATTACAACAGTCTGTTCCTAACAGACAAGGTGCCCAACTTATTATTATTATTATATTACAAAATGTTGTGTCTGAGCTAGTCCAGGGATTGTAACTTTAAATTGAAGGGATAAATACAATCTTCCCATCATTATCTAGACACCCACTAAAAAAAAACGTTACAAGCGGTTGCCTTTTTTAGGGATCGGGTGCACTAACGCGGCCTTCCATGATTTCGGGACTACGCCTAAAGTATAGGAGTGCCGGAAGAGACGCGTTAAAACCGGCGCCAACTCTGGAGCACATGTCTGTAACATGATCGGAGGGATGCCATGAGGCCCACTCGACTTGTGAATGTCCAAGGAAAGAAGTGCTTTGCGAACTGCACTTTGCCGGAATGTTACCTCCGGCATCGTAACGTCGCACTGGGGGATTGATGGTGGTGAATTTCCTCGGTCATCCAAAGTCGAGTTGGACGCAAAGAGAGAGCCCAGAAGATCGGCTTTCTCCTTCGCGGCATGGGCCAACGAATCATCCTCCGTGTGCAGGGGTGGAAAAGATGGCTTACAGAAATTCCCTAAGACAGCTTTGGCGAGAGACCAAAACGCACGTGTTCCCGACGGGAGACGCGCCAATCTCTCGCCAATTCTGCTAATGTGCTCCAACTTCGCTTTAGCAATAACGCTTTTGAAGGACCTAGAAGCAGAGTTATACTCCTTTTTTAATGCGCTGGTCTTTACATCACTAGACGCCGAAGCTTCAGCCCAGGCTCGGTAGCATTCCCACTTTCGGCGTAATGCCGTCTTGCAGGAACGACCAAACCAAGGGTGGAATTTGCCACCGATGGGTATTGCAGAAAATGGAATAAACATTTCCATACCCTGAAGCACCACATCGGTGACAGAGTCAGCAACGGCGTCTGGATCATCCAACGAGAAGCAAATTTGCCCCCATGGGTAGGACGCAAAGAATGACCGCATCCCGTTCCAATCTGCTGACCTATAGTGCCATACGCGGCGGCAGCCTGCGAAGCGAGGCCATGTAGAGCGCGCAACGGGCACTGTACTCCTGACAAGACAGTGGTCCGACGAACCAAGAGGAGGATCGACGGAAACCAGGTAGCCGTCCGGATGCGAGGTCAGCAGAAGGTCCAACAGGGAAGGTGTATGATCCTCCACATCTGGGATTCGCGTTGGCGAGGTGACCAGTTGTGTCAGATCATAAGCTATTGCGAAGTTGTGAACAGATCTCCCCGTGTAACATGTGATTTCATCACTTTGTCTAAATTGTCGTTTATCTAAAGACATTGGATGAATACAACTTCTTAACTGCTAATAAATCTTTTATTAAATCTTCCCATCATTATCTAGACACCCACTATAAAAACGTTACACCCGCATGATCGGTGGTGCGTGAACTGAGCCAATCGGCGTGATGGGCGTTAAAGTCGCCTAGAATCACGATCACTGCGGATGGGATCTGCTGCAGCACGGAGTCTGTAGCCATTTGAATGAGTTGGTCAGTTTCGGCATTACCGCTATGGGACCTATATAGGCACGCGTAGATACGCGGATGGTCGTCGCAGTCTACGCGTAGCCAGAGGATGGATAGGTCCCGTCCTCCAAGACTGCCGAGGCGACGAGAACAGATATCCTCTCTGACGTACACGCACACCCCCACCCGCGGTACAAAGGAATGTTCCAATTTGTACCCGGGGTAGGAGAGGAAAGAAGTATCAGCCGGAGAAGATATCTGAGTCTCAGTAAGGAACAGCAAGGCCGGCTTTGCCGTCTCTAGGTGGTAGTGGACGGTATTAAGGTTGGAGAGAAGTCCCCTGATGTTGCACAAATCTACGGAGAGCGTGGAAGGGGTTGCCGAAGTGAGCCTGCTACGTTTGCCTCGAGCAATGGGAGTTGAGAGCGGTATTTGGCCCCCCCCAGAATACGTGGGGCAGCCTGAGCGCCTACGCTCAGAAAGCGAATAGTCATCTGGTCGCAGCCGCCCAGGGGGGGATTCTCCAGAACCACTGGGACTGGTACCCCCCCTGGGGTAGGTTTTTTTCCGATACCTAGCATGTTATAGAAGAACGGGGGGGGGGGGGGGGGGGGAAGTGGGCATCCGGCAACCTCACTCACCAGACGAAACGCAGAAGCATAAAGCCTCCACTTTACGCCGGTCTTCTGTGAGGCCGTGGTACCACCCCGGACGGGCCTGCCCATTCGTGCAACAGAGGGTTCTGTTGCGAGGCCCTACCACGTTTATTTCAGTTCAGTTGATTCAGCAACTAAAATTGTAATTAATAATTTCTTTGGTGCCGACACCTGGATTTGCACCCTGGTTGCTCGAGTAAAAATTTAATTAAAAATTGGTGCCCGGACACAGCCATCTTTTCACAGTCAAGGGGAGGTTACAAATTCTTTTTATTTATATATAAATGCTATTACTTTAGCATTACATGATCCTGTGTTGTAAGAACGTATTACAAATATAAATTTGACGTGGACAAACAGTCTGGGTCCGAAACAATTATTTATGGTTCTCACAAATAGTTTTCCCGTGCGGGAATCGAATGGACGATACCCGGGGTCGAAGCCAATAACTTGACAACTAGCCAATACTTGCCACGGAGTCATACTTCCACTTTACGTTGGTCTCCTGTGTCCTTGCCGTGGTGCTTCTTTGGGCGAGCCGGTCTATTCGTACAACAGAACTGCTGCGTTGTACTACCATGATTGTAAATGTTGCTTTCGCTCAAATATGTTTGGCTTCTTTATTACATTAAGTAGATTAATATAGCATTGTTTACCCGGGGAGAGTTATTCATGTCTTGTGTAATAATCTGTTAGGTAGGCAAAAGTAAAAAAATACTAAACTAAATAATCTGTGTAATATAATAAAGATGAAGAGTGTTTGAACGCGCTAATCTCTGGAGTTCCAGAGATTGGCTTACTGGCAGTCGCCAGTCGGATTTCAAAAGTCTGTTTGCATGTGATAGCTCAATGCTTGACGAAAGTTGTAGTGTATTTAATATAAAGTTTCTCGCGGATAAAATTGCATAGAACAGCTAATACGTCATAAGTTTTTTCCATATAAGAAATCACGTTGTATGCAACATGAAACTACAAAACTGGATAGTGGGAGCGAAACAAGAAACGGTTTAGAACAAGGTATGATAGAGTACATCCCTGTTAGATTCACTCTTGACAAGTCAGCGATTTGAACTTCAGAAGAGCATTAATCATTTTCACGTTTGCACTATGCCACCTAAGACCCGGCCACATGCTTTTAGATGATAATTAAATTTAGTTAAACACTATTCGGTTCGAAACGCAATAACAGCATTCACGACACACATCAGATGACCTTAGGACCCCCTGCTTTTCTTCTTTGGTTTGGTTTAAAATGAGTTCATAATAGTGTTTTGCGAACAATACCGTAGTCGCTTCAAGAGCACGTCGAGTATGGTTCTACAACAAGAGATCTCACTAGGATATCGAAACTAGCATTAAGCTTTGGTATTCAGTTTGTGAATTGCATGTCTTTCAAGTTGCTAAAAATATTGCGTGGCACATTGTGTGTGTTTTGGATTGACAATAAAGCAATGGATTAAGCAACGGGAAGTCATGACTCTTACATGAAAACATATTATGGATTGAAGATCACCACATGATACTTTTTATCACGAAAAACTAAGAGTTTTGAAAAAAAAAAGAAAACTATCTACAGCAAATTTCAGGGCTTTTAAGACCACTTCTAACTCTGAAATTGAAAATCACGCGAGAAAAGCCGCGGTCAAGAATATAAAAAATGGATCCATTTTTCTATTCATCATTTATTACATACGAAACTGAACTTTGGCTGTCCAAAAATTCGTTCGTTTTTGAAAATTTATATTCGACATGTTATTTCGATGATATGTGATTTCTAAAGCAGTTATTATGTTCACATGCATTTAGTTACTTCCGTATGGTGGTTTTAGACATGTCTAAATAAGACAATTTTTCTATTACTTGTGTACTACTATGTCTTTACTTCAACGATGTCACTTATGGCCGGGAATTCGCGTCGACAACGCGGTCCGGGAGCATATTGAGAATTAACCTAACTCAGATCTCGGTGTCAGTGTGTCTGCTTCCGTGAATATAAGAGCGTCCGCATCTTCATACGATTTGTTTGTTTCTAGGGTCGGACATAAGGGATATACTACAAGCGCCGGCCGAACGGATAGTGCCGCTCTTCCAGGTGCAATACGATCGCAGCCTCTGTAAACCGTTGGGCACCGTTGCCGACTTTAGCAAGCTGCTCGCTATGGCGAGGCCCCCCAGATCCGCTGCCATAGCGCCGATATCGACCCACTCCCTGCCGGCATCCCGCAGCCCCTCGCCTCTGTCGTACGGCAACAAGAGCCCCTCGCCCCACACCGTCGGCAGCCCCGCACACGCCTTAACAAAGCGCACACCGAGGAAACGTGCCGATATCAGACAGAATGCCCTTACTCTCTTCGAATTCACCACCGTCTACCCATTCGTCTACGGCAACAACAAGTTCAAGTGCTTCGTGTGCTCGCAGCCGTTCCTCGAGACTGCGCTCTTGCGCCGCCACATGCAAGACACGCACACCTTCGCCCCGTTAAAGCGACTACTCAACAACCGCCGCGAGAACGTGATCAAGGTCGACGTGAGAGAAATGAACTGCAAACTATGTCCGATCCAGCCAAAAGACCTGCAGCAGCTGAAGCAGCATCTGAAGGAGGTGCACCAGAAGCTGATAGATCCGGAGCTGAAGGACAACATAATACCCTTCATGCTGGAGGGAGGGGAGGAGGGCTACCAGTGCGTGATGTGCGACAGCACCTTCATCAAAGTGCGCACACTTGTTATCCACATGAGCGTCCACTTCAACAACTACAGCTGCGAGATCTGCGGCTCCGGCTTCATGACCCTACGGCTGCTGAAGAAGCACCTGGAAGTGCACGAGAGCGGCAACTTCCATTGCGACCGTTGCAACAAGGTGTTCAACACCTCCTACAAGCTGTCGTTGCACATCAGAGGCGTGCATCTGAAGCAGTTCCCCAGACGCTGCCCAATTTGCCCGGAGCGCTTCAACTCGAACTACCGGCGCACCAAGCACTTGCAGGACGTCCACAATCAGTCGACCCGTGTGCACAAGTGCAAGACATGCGGCCGCGGGTTCAATCTAAAGTACCATTTGGTGTGCCACACGCGCTCCGTCCATCTGCAGGAGAGGAACCACCAGTGCAAGGTCTGCTCGCAGAGGTTCTGCAACAAGGAGACGCTAAAGCGGCACATGGTGATACACACGGGCGAGAAGAACTACAAGTGCGATCTGTGCGGGCAAGCGTTTCTGCGCCGGAAAAACTTGAAGGACCATTTAAGGCTGCACGACGTACTCTGAACGTGGCGGCGATGATGAAGCATCACAAATGAAAATGAGATTAATCTATAATTTAATGCTAGGATAAGATTCGATCACAAGTACATTTAGAAGCAAGGAATAAAAATGATCTGAAATAAATTGATCTGATAATGACGACTGTTTTAAATGTTAATTTAATTGTTTATTGTAAATGTGGATTTTTAAAATAAAGCGGATGTAAGATAATTCTGGATTTTAATCATCTATAATTTTGATCATTATTCTTTATTTGCTTGACACTTTTATTGTATCTTTATATATATAATTCTTCTGTACGTGTGTATTGCACTGAACTCCTAAACAGCTGGACCGATTTGAATGGAATTTTTTGGTTGTGTTCATGTCGATTCGAGAATGGTTTACATTCACACCTTTTTTAAGTTATCGGATTTAAGTCGTGTGTACAGGACAACGTCTGCTTGGTCCTCTAGTATAATTCTAGATTACCTAGTCCGGCACGTCAACGCGTGGTTAAACGAGGTATCAGATGTAGGAAAATAAATTGTCAGTACGGTTTGCGTACCAGACGAAACAGACATATTTTCGCACCGAAAAAAAAAGAGGTTCTTTGCAGTGAAATCTGGCAAAACTCTGACTAAAAAGCAAATAACTTTTCATGAGTAACTCTTTTGATTCTTCCATCATCAATGTCAGATACGCCATATCTTGTCAATCGTGTCAGTCATAATATTATTGATACTATAAAATATCTGAGTGGTAAATATAATGTAAATAATTATATAATTTTGAATTAATGTCGTAATTATCATTTCTTTGAAGTGAAAACTATTCAGGTTACAGGAGAAATAAGTTCTGATGGAAACTAAAGATGTATTGTATTTTGTTTCCGCTATAACAACAGATACTAAAAAACAGAATAAAAAATATTTTATTGTGGCTGCCATACAACATACATGATTTTTATGCCTTTTTTTAGATAATGGTACCAAATCCTTCGTGCGCGAGTCCGACTCGCACTTGGCCGGGTTTTTCGTCTATCAATTTAATTAGTAAAACATTTATCGAAAATAAGTAATAGTTTAGTGCATGTTACATCACACACACACACACACACATATCTAATTTGGTACGTACAGGTAATACTGATAGGGGTGTTAACCAAATTTATAAAAACCGTGCTAAAAACATTTTTGTTCACATCGCGACAGTGATAAATAATCTAGGCCTGCTCTAATCTGCTCTTAGGTTATAGGAGCGCGATTGATCAATTCTGTATGGACATTAAATTCAAGCACGTGCGCTGACAACTTAGTTTTCAACATTCCATGGTCTTTATAAATGACAGTGGGCGGTGGTACCTCAATCTCCATTCCTCCTTCCATACGTCAATATCCAAAGAGCCGCTCGAATCGGCGATGACCATTTGTGAAATGTTGCCAAACGAGCAGACGGTTCACCTGATGGTAAGTGAATACCGCTGCTCATGTACAACTACTACACCCGAGGGCTACAGAGGCGTTGACAACCTTTTGAAAATTGGGCTCCGGCTATCTCACTCACCAGACGAAACGCGAAAGTATTTGTCATACTTCCACTTTACGCTGGTCTTCTGTGAGGGCGTGGTACTTACCCAGACTGCTGCGTGGCCCTACCACCGTTAAATGTGTGACCATGTCCTCTTCAATTGCCTCGGTTGCATTTATCACGGGGAGTGCTTTGAGAAATTGTTCAGATTAATACCTGCAGCCGAGTTCTTACTTAGTACATAGCGTCAGCCCGCCAAATTATCCGTACAACGCGTCAGGCTGCTTCGATACCGCCTTGGTGGTTAGCCACTGTGCGATTTTTACGCAGTTTTATTTGTGGAATCAGTTCTTATCGACAGTATTATTAGTAGCCAAACGGGAGCCTATTTCTATCTCTAACGCCAGTAAAGCATTTGTGACTCCTCTGGTGTTGCGAGTATCCATGGTTGGTAGTGCGCTTTCTATCAGGTCACCCACTTACTAGTTTTTCTCTTATTCCATAAAAAACTCGATTTTACAATGCACAAAATAGTTTAAGTTCATTCGTGCATAGTTCATTGTTTTCTTTAATATTGTTAAAAATCGAATAACTGATATGGCATCATCAGCATAAAAGTTTCGTTTCACACTTTATTCTTTTTCTAGGGCTCATCCAAGCAACAGACACGTCACTAACACTGAAAGGGGATGATGGCTCCGACATTAGGTTAGCGGTTCTTAAGAAGCCCATACCTATTGATAATCTAGTGTACGAACAAGTAGCTGACGATACAGAAACGGTTCAAATAGACGAAGAGAATGAAATAGGCAAAACAATCGATAAGAACTCGGAAGAGGACCTCGATAATTCGCCTAACGAAAAACCAAATTTAACGTTTTTAAAGGTTCCGATTTGTTTAGATGACATCGGTGACGGAAAAGAATTGCCTTTGTTAAGCGCGAAGCCATTAAAAGCGGGAAATATAGGGTGCAGATCATCTCGTAGGTGCACGAATCCAGACAGTCAGCCCGGGCAGTTGAATGCTATTACACTCTTCGAGTTTGCTTATGTCTATCCGTTTGTGTATGCGGGCAACAAATTTAAGTGCTTTGTGTGCTCCAAGTCGTTTGTTGATGCGAACGCTTTTAGAGAGCATTCTTTAAATGAGCATTCCATAGAGGAACTGAAGGAAGAGATGAATAAAAAGGTTCGCGACAAGACTCTGAAAGTAGACGTGGTGCAGTTGCAATGCAAACTGTGCAACGAAACTTCCACAACCTTGGGCAGCCTTAAAGTACATCTCAGAGATCACGGGAAACAGATTGATCCAGGCTGTCAGGACAATATTATACCCTTTAAACTCGGCGATGACACGTTCGATTGTCAGGTTTGTGGAGAGAGTTTTCAGAGGTTGCGTCTTCTAATAATACACATGAGCAAACACTTTAACAACTACAATTGTGAGATTTGCGGCAGCGTGTTCGTCTCCTTGATTTCGCTCAAGAGGCATCAGCAGACCCACAAAGCCGGTAGCTACCCGTGTGAGAAGTGCAACAAAGTCTTCACCAATTCAGCAAAACGGATCAGTCACATCAAGGGCGTCCATTTAAAGAAGTACACTAGAATCTGTCCCCTTTGCCCTGAACGCTTCAACTCCAACTACCAACGCACCAAACACTTGAGGGTTGTTCACAATCAGACTAACATGTTTAAATGCGAGAAATGTGGCCGTCAGTACGATCTGAAGTACCACTTGTTACTGCACATGAGATCTGTTCACTTGCAGGAGCGGAACTACGAGTGTGGGATATGCCATTCGCGATTCTTCACTAAATACTGTCTCTCGAGGCATATGGTTGTACACACGGGCGACAAGAAATTCAAATGCGAAGTTTGTGGAAAAGTTTACGCTAAGAAGAAGAGTCTTCAAGAGCACCTGATGTTCCATGAACTATTACAAAGCTCCTGCGCCGTAGCACATTCATCGAATACGCAACATTAATCTTAAGTATGAATACAATTCACTGAGTGGTGCAATCGTACAAGTCAAGATTTTGCGTCATAGTTCATTTCCATTAAATGTATGCATTAAAAAGTATATTTGTGTTATTTTTGTCAGAGAACAGCTGACTAGTACGGTCATTATTATTTGACATTTAGCATGCGAGCAAATGGTGTGTGTTATTAGCTCGTCGAATAGTTGAAAAAGGATACACTTTACAAGAAAAACTTTTATTTCTTCCCCAGGGGAATCGACAAAGCTGCGCCCAGGGCCCAGGACTAGCATATGGCAAATGACAATATCGGAAAGACAGAACGCAGCGACGTTCATTGAGTGTACCACCGTGAAGCCTTTCTATTACCAGCAGGCCAATTTCAAATGTTTCTATTGCAACGAAGTGTTCCCAGAAGTGCACTCCGTGTTGCAGCACACAAGGCTCCACGAGGCGCCGGAGAGGGCCAGCCTCCTGAAACATTACCTCAGAAAGGGAAAGCGGGTCATCAAGGTCGACATATCTGAGCTAAAGTGCAAGCTTTGCGATCAACGGTACTCGGACTTGGACGACGTGCGTCGACACCTTGCCGCGGTGCACAACAAGGAATTCAACTCGGCCGGCAACGGCCTGATGGCTTACAGTTTGATCGCAAACGACGGCCTTCTGACCTGTCACAGGTGCGGGAAGAGCTTCAACTCGTTTTTCCTCTTGAACAGGCACATGAACGCCCACTTCAGCGTGGTCTGCGAGACGTGCGGCCTGGGTTTCGTGTCGCACCAGCGTCTAGTCAACCACCGCGCGGTGCACCAGGACGGCGTCCACAGGTGCGACCGTTGCCAGGCCGTGTTCCCCACCAAGCTCAAGCTGCGCTACCACGTGTTCAAGAAGCACGAAACGGCGGACGCGAAGAAGTCGCGGCCGCTGAAGTGCCCGCACTGCCTGGAGCGCTTCGCCGAGCACTACCGCAAGATGACGCATCTGAGGGAGGCGCACGGGATCGCGTTCACGTTCGACTGCCAGCTCTGCGGCGCGGTGTTCCCGCAGCGGCGCGCCCTCACCGAGCACACGACGAAGCAGCACACGCGCCGCATCGAGTGCGCGGTCTGCGGCAAGTGTTTCGGCACCAAGTCCCTGCTGAAGATGCACGCGCGCGGCCACACCGGTGAGCGCAACTTCTCGTGCGCGGTGTGCCACAAGGCCTACATGCACGAGCGCACTCTGCGCCAGCATATGCGGACGCACACGCCCGCATGGCGGCTCGCGTGCCCGGAGTGCGGCAGCGGATTCCACGGCCGCTGCGAGCTCGACAAGCACATGAAGCACTGGCATCCCAACTGGCAGCAGACCACCAAGAGTGTCACCGATGTACCTGGGAATTGATACGCCGTAACCACGTGGAATGTTGCAGTGAATAATCTTGTTGTTGTAATGACTGTTCTCTCCGTGAAGAAGAACCTGCACGTGGTTTTTTGAAGACGCTGTCAATGTAAAATTTAGTGCTAAAATATATGTTCGTGGATCTATAGTAGTATTTGTTTTACTTGAATTGCTCTAGCTTTATGCACCATTACCATTAGAAATACGAATTGGCGTTGTAAGTGTTATGGAAGAATACATAGATCTCATAGTGTTGTTTATTTTACTGTCTATTTCTCTTTATTATTTATTTTATATTAGGCCTTTTCTTAATTTGACAGAGGAAGACTGAAGAACGTAAGACCACTAGTCCTATCATAAATTTATTGGTTGACAATCTAAATCACTTAATTATTAACACATTTCACTCAATTTATACAATTTTTTTCGCATGCAAATAAAATTTTAATTACTTTATCTAATAATCACGAACCTAGTAATGAATATTAACGATTTAGATTCGTGAACGTTTAAGTACCACATCTGTGACATTTGAGACACATTAAAGCTATCTAGATAGAACTCCTGACTTTAACGCGTAAAAAATAAAGTCGAGTGCAATAGTAAGTTTTTTTTTAGAATACTAGTAGAAAGACTAGTGCTGCGGTATATTGCTTCGGCGCGAATGTTTTAGATCTGCGTGATTGTCCTGTTTAATTCGTGCTTGCATAACGTGTATACAACGCAGAATTATCGTAACCTACAATAGGTACATCTATATATAACAGCAGAATCCAAAAAATTTACGTTAACCTTTCATATAGCAGTTAAGCTCATGCTGTACCTTGATAATTTTTGTCGATATTTTGATATAAACAATTTCAAAAGTTGGCCTCCATCCAACCTATTTTGGTCTATTCTCAAGCATCATTGACGTACCTGCTTACAATTTCCTCTTTTACAACTTTTTGGAAACGAAGTGCAAGCGTGTAAAACCCCATTTTTTACCTTCCCAGGGGAGACAGAGGCCGGCTCAGGCCGACAGGGCGCTCTCACCAGCAAATGGGAGATGACACTTTCGGAGCGGCAGAACGCCGCGCACCTCCTAGAGAGCACTACCGCCCGCCCGTTCGTGTATTGTCGCTACTATTTCAAATGCTTCTTCTGTCACGAGCAGCACTCCGAGCTCAGGTCTCTTATCGCCCACAGCGCTACACATGCCATGCCGGACTACGCCACTATTCTTAAAGAGCTGGTGCCGAAGGGCAAGCGTACCGTGAAAGTCGACATATCCGATCTAAAATGTAGACTTTGTGGAAAGGCGCTCGAGGGTGTGGACATGGCCCGCGAGCATCTGGTCTCGGATCACGGCAAGGCCTTCACGGCGTCGGGCACTGGGCTCATCGCCTACGATCTGACCTCTACCGACGGCCGCCTCTCTTGCCACGTGTGCGGCAAACAGTTCAACACCTTCGTGCTGCTGAACCGGCACATGAACGTGCATTTCAGCAACGCGGTGTGCGACACCTGCGGCGCCGGTTTCATGACGCACCAGCGTCTGATGCTGCACAAGGAGATACACACCGGCGGCCACCGGTGCGGCGAGTGCGCCAAAGTGTACACGACCAGCTCCAACCTGAGGCACCACGTGGAGAAGTGCCACGGGGGAACGAGAAAGCGCATGCTGCGCTGCCCACGCTGTCCCGAACGCTTCGCCGAGCACTTTAGGAAGCTGAAGCATTTGAGGGACTCGCACGGGATAACCTTCAGCTTCGACTGCGAGCAGTGCCGCTCGACGTTCTCGAGCCGACGGGCACTGACGATGCACACGAACAAGCACCACACTGCGAAGACACGCTGCTCGCTGTGCGAGAAGAGCTTCGGGTGTTTGAGCTCGCTGCGGAAGCACATGGCCTCGCACACCGGCGAGAGGGGCTACCGGTGCGAGCTCTGCGACAAGTCGTACCGCCACCGGAGGAGCCTGCAGAATCACAAGCGGACGCACGACGACACACGAATGCTCCCTTGTACCGAGTGCGGGAACCGATTCCCCAGTGTAGTTGAGCTCGATAGACACGTAAAAGAGTGGCACCCACGTTTCGACCATGGGGTCAGCTAGAGTGTAAACTTGATATAAAACTAATCGTGAGTGACATAAAGTAGCGGGTTGAGCTTACTTCTAATGATACAAATATATTAGGACACACAAACAATGCTGTTCTGCTCTGTTCAGTATTTAAAATACTTACGCTTGAATGAGATCAAAATTTGTTATCACGGCTTGAAGCTAGTAAATTATTCTGCCAGTGTATAATAAATTTAGAATTCTTAATGAATGTCCAGAAAATTTTTTTTGTTAAATTTTTACATTTGAATGTTTAATAATCCTGGGATTGCTCCATTTCGCTTTGCTTTGAAGATTTCTGTTTCTTTCGCAGGCGACAGACATGTAGCGCACAGCATTTGGCAAATGTCCGTAGCCGAGAGAAGCAATGCGGCGACCTTCATCCAGTTCACGACGGTCAAGCCGTTCTCGTACATGGGCTCGACATTCAAATGCTTCTACTGCACGCAGTACTATCCAGAATTTGGCAGTCTGCTCGAGCACACGTCGACCCACCAAATCGACGATAGGGAGACAATTCTCAACAGACACATACCGCGCGGGAAACGATTCATGCTAGCCGATGTGTCGAATCTGCAATGTCGACTATGCGAACAGCACCACCAGGATCTGGACGCGGTCAGGCGGCATTTGGAGATGGAGCACGGGAAGCGGTTCCGGCCGGCGGGCAACGGCATGACCGAGTACAAAGTGGCGGCGCAAGACGGCCCGCTGAAATGCCACATGTGCGAGGACACCTTCCACAGTTTCGCCCTGCTCAGCGCGCACGTGTACCGTCACGTCGGCAAAGTCGTGTGCGAGCGCTGCGGCGCCGGCTTCCCCAACCAGCACCTGCTCTCGAAGCACACCGAGACCCACCTCACCGAACGCTTCGGCTGCAAACACTGCGACAGGGTCTTCGCCAAGAGGAGCCAGCGGAAGTACCACACGGACACCGTGCACCTTCTAAAGGACAGGGTCAAGCCGAAGAAGTGCCACCTCTGCTCGCTGACGTTCAAAGAACACCACAGCAAGATGCTGCATTTGAAGCGAGCGCACGGCCTGGCGAGGAGCTTCAACTGCCACGTGTGCAACGCCGTATTCGTCACGCGGCGCGCCCTCACCGACCACACCACGAAAACGCACACCGAAAAGTTCAAGTGCGAGACGTGCTCCAAATGCTTCGCGGTATCCTCGAAACTGAAGCAGCACGTGGTGAGCCACAGCGGCGAGCGGAGTTTCGTGTGCCCCGTATGCAACAAGCCGTATATGCACAAGACAACGCTGAGGAAACATATGCGTAGTCACACCGCCGCCAGTGAAGCATCGAATGACGCCAAGTTCAAGTTATCTTAAGCCATAATAATTCGTTCGGTTATGGTTAATACGCCGATTGCTCACTTAACAAATATAAAAATCTTTAAGACAAGAGTGAATTAAATCTATTTAGCGATCTAAAGAGATTGCCAAAGAAAGTTATAATAATTACCTGAGAGACACTGAAGAGGGAGTTAAGTCGAACCATAAAATCTTTTGGTATTATATAAATAAAAAAACAAAAGAAAAGCAAAGAGTCACCTATCCTGCCGAATTCAATGATGGCTCTGTATGTAATTCTTTTACAAAATAGGTACTTTTCAGTTGCATATGACAACGACCCCCATTCGGATATGTTATTTGACGAAGGACAATTTCATTCTATAACCTTTTGTAATGAATTTTATCAAGATATCGAAATAACTCGCGAATTAATCTGCAGCGGATATGTTACAAATTAATTCGAAATTGAACACAAATAATCAATGCTTTTTCATCCTTCTTTTAATTTTTTATTTTTGTATTAGAATTTATCATTATGTACCGTTTTTTTATTGATTTTTTTATAATTTTTATTTTTGTTATTGTTCTGGTTATTCTAAATAAATTTTTACTTTTTGCCTAAACATTAGCAAGTAGTTATTGTAAGTTAACTTTAAAAACCTGAATTACTTTTTCAATGTAATACGGTAGGCTTTTTAATATGATTTCAATTTTTTTTATTCTATAATGTATGCATGTTGTGTTTACCTAAAAATAACACTAAGTTATAATTACTGTATTGTATATAAATTGTATCGGTGTAACAAGTGCTGATAAAAATCAATAAATAAATAAATAAAAACTTAACTCTCATCAGACCTAATGCTAAATGGTGATGCTGTCATTAATGATTAACACACAGCTCAGTAAAAATCCAATCATTATCCCTTAGAAAACCTTTCGGGGATCGCTAAATGCTTCTATGAGCTGTTTCAACATGAGGAATTCGATAAATGTTCTTATTATTATTTTTTTATATTAATAACATCGCCCCTTACTGTATACAATACTAGCTTATCGCCCGCGACTTCGCTCGCGTTGAAGCCCTTATCCCTGTAATTTTTAATAAATATGTCCTATGTCCTTTTAATACTTCTAAGAATATGTGTACAGTTTCATGATAAACAGTTGAGTAGTGTTGGCGTGAAAGCGTAACAAACAAACTTACATTCACATTTATAATATTACTAGCTGCTGCCCGCAATTACGACTGCGATAGGCTGAAGGTGTAATATTAAGACAGAAAGACAGATATACATAAAAATATGTATATAAATTATAGCCTATGTCTTATTCTGATGTATAAGCTATAATACTATTGTAAAGTTTCATTAAAATCCATTCAGTAGTATTTGTGTGAAAGAGTATCAAACATCCATCCATACATACAAACTTTCGTCTTTATAATATTAAGTAAGGACTAGCTGACCCGAAAAACGTTGTTTTGCCATATAAATTAATTGCAGCGTGGAAAAAGTTTAGGGGTGGACTACCCTTAACATTTAGGGGGATGAAAAATAGACGTTGACCGATTCTCCACCTTGGCCGATATGCACACAATAAAACCTGAAACTGTTTGAATGTTTCATTAAAAGGAGAAAATATATCTGAAACATCGGAAATATAAACTAGCAGCCTTGGTAGTAGCTTTCTGCATCGATTTCGTTACAAGTTGGCAATAATTTAAATTCATTATGTATTAAATATGACGGGTGCTAAGAAAAGGGCGATTGGTACTTAGTACATGGCCTGGCGCTTAGGGCAGCCAAGACTGGAAATCCGCCACTGAACGCTGTTGTACTATGTTGAATATTTCGAGGGGGAGGCTCCCTCTGGAGGCCCCCTCTGGCTACACGATTGAAGTGGTTATTGCTGAAGTTAGAAATAAACTAACAATAATTTCCTTTGTCGATTCTACTTGGCTCACACATTTCTAATTCCTTTTTTGAGTGTTTATTTTATTATAATTTTATTTTTTTACTTTTGGTTTCTGACTAATATATTGTTTTTTTGCTTTTGGACTCGGGACTGTATTTTCCAATTGTTTGGTTATCACTGAAAATCAGCGTTGCAGTTTTTCACTGCATCGTTCTGCTAATTGATGCCCTTTTTGGCATGAACCACGACGTACAATAATCAAAAGGGAAAAATATAATTTTTATACTAGGAGTCTAAAAATGAATACTACGTTAATAAAATAAAGCTGCTATTTATTAATATATGAGTACAGTTGTACTCAGTATTATTTGTTTTAGTTTTTATAAGTGTGAAAAAATTGTGATTTTCTAATTAATTTAAGAACAGTGTATATGCGATCCCGCTAGATTATTAAATCATACCAAAGTGTCCATTTGTTTGTTCGCGTGGATCTTGAAATAAATTATTTCGAAGTAAAGGTGCCGTTTCATTTCCAGCGGCCGGCAGAGTCCGCCCCGCCACGAGCTTGTGGGCGATGACGCTGTCTGAAAGGGAGAACGCGGCGGTTCTCTTGCAGAACACCACCGCGAACCCGTTCACCTACCTCTCCTACCCCTTCTCCTTCAGATGCTTCTACTGTCCCGAGAGGAGTACCGAGCTAGGAAAAATTCTAGCGCACACGAAAGCCCATGTCGTGCCCGAGCTGAGTGTTCTGATGACGCAACACCTGAGGAAGGGCAAGAAAACCATCAAGGCTGATATATCCGAGCTGCTGTGCAGAATCTGCGACGCGCCTCTTTCCAGTCTGGACGAAGCACGAGGGCATCTGAGCTCAAATCACGGCGAGCGCTTCACGGAAGCCGGCAACGGAATAATCGCCTTCGGCTTGAAGACCACAAACGGGGAGTACAGCTGCCGCGAGTGCTCGGAGACCTTCCACGGCTTCTTTCAGCTGAACAAGCACATAAACGTGCACTACAGCGCCGCCGTCTGCGACACGTGCGGCAAGGCGTTCGCGACGCACGCTCGCCTGCTGCAGCACATGGAGACCCACTTGACGGGGCGATACCCGTGCGAGCAATGCGGCCGCACGTTCACCAGCCCGCCCAAACTCCGATACCACGCGAGCAAGGCACACGGCGGCCAAGCAAAGGTAAAACCCTCAAAGTGCCCGGTCTGCGACGCCAGATTCGAGCACCACTACGAGAAGATGAAGCACTTGAGGGAGATGCACGGGATCGCGCATAACCACCCGTGCAAAGCCTGCGGCGCGGTGTTCACAACACGCAAGTCGTTGTACTTCCACACGAGGAAGCAGCACACATCGGCTCTGACCTGCGAGGTGTGCGACAGACCTTTCGCTGAGCGCAATCACCTGAAAAAGCACATGGCGGTGCACACGCACGCTCGCGACCACCCCTGCCCGCTGTGCTCCAAGGCGTATAGATACGAGAAGAATCTGAAGGAGCACATGCGGGTCCACAACCCCGATTGGAGGTTCGCCTGCCCCCGTTGCTGGGTCGGCTTCCGCGGCAAGATCGAGTACAGGAAGCACATGGTGACACACGAATGAATTCTCTGCAAACGACAGCTCAGCTTCTATCATGGCCGAGCGCCGTCTCGTCCGGGAAATTCCCGCCTCGCAGTAGGCCAACGCAAAAGATAACTGTTTAATTTGTTACCTTAAAGGCCGCTGGTGTCTGCTGCTTGGGCGGCGGTGAACACTTACCATCTCTGCAGCGAACCGCTTGCTTATATAGCACCACCTCTAAATGAGGCTATGGTCGATACGATACGCCTAAATCTGACTTGGTTCTGTTTAAACACGAAACCTGTCAGCATGTACAGGAGCTGATGTATTTTGAGGGTTAGATGATTTATTCAAAATAAATTGTTAAAACACAATAACCTCGGTTTATCTTATACATGTTTTAACGGGCATGATTATTACCAATATCTAGTTATATATAAGAAAATCTACTTAAGTAACCTATTCATAATCGATTCTAGCAGCTTATTGTAAACAGGTTATGTTTTTCTGCCAACATTTCTGGGGTCTCGCAGCTAGTTCTGCTTTTGTACGAGTGGATAAGGTCATTAGGTCCTACAGAGGGCCGGAGAGGAGTGGAAGTAATTTCATCTTTACACATTTGGCTAGCCCCTAATGGGGGTCCCGACCTATTAAACATTGGCAATGCGCATGTATTCCTGGTCACGCCCACGGCGCGAATATCACTAACCACCTCATGGATCTATTTCCCCTGCGCCACCTTCCCTCAAAAATACCAGTGCGTCTTTTCGCTTGCTTTAAACCCTTTCAGGGGGCCAAATGTCATTTATAACGCAATATTTATTTGCCCATACCCGCAAATGTTGTGTATGGCAACGAAATGTTTAATGCAAACTCCAGCAGTCAACCTAAAGATCAATGCAGGGACAAAAGAAGTAGATGTAAAAGCGAATAAAAAAAAACAAATCTATGTTAGCTATACTTTGTTTTATCGAGCTAAGAAGGTAGAAATATAAATACCTTTACCAAATCACCGTAGTTTTACTTTGCACAACAATAACACTGGTATAATTACTTATTTTATCACTTTAATATCACTAATGAAACACCACTCTAGATATCGATTGGGCAGCACTATCACGTATACTTCTTGATGACAGCCAGAGAAAGACGAAGACCACGATGAAGGCGACCATGAAATGCTTCATGCAGCTACATTTATACCTCAAAGAATGACACTTCTTTCAGTGTTGCCAACAACTTCAAGGAACGACTTCCTTTAGAGTTGCCAACATCTATAGCAATAACATGAAAACTTATAAAAAACATTAATATAAATAGTAATGAAAAATTATGTAAAGAATAATATTAATATACTGCTTACATAGTCACAAGTCACTAGAAGATAAAAACGAGTAACTTATGTACCAACTTGTCCAAATATTTTCCGTAGAACTTTGATATTAACTTCTACAAATATCGAGTTTTAACGAAATATAAGAAGTTTATTGATGTAACAAATAATGAATCAACATTAAATTAAAACTGGTCCAGATTTTAACGCCGTGAAAAGGTACAGGTTCCAAAAAGTTTTCGAGAATTTATCTATTGTTTTACTTTACTTTATTATTATTTCTTATATTATTTGCAAATATAGTTTTACATTTTTAGGAAACAAAAAGTACAAGGAATTTCGCTTATGGATTTATTTCTTGAGATTTTGCAAAGAAAAAAAGGTCCTAAAATAGAAATTCCTTTGTAATCTTCAAGAGTCCAAAAGTAAGATTGTATCGAAAACGGTTAATTGCTTGTTGTATTTGTTCTTATTTCGGCCTTAAATTATCATTTATTCTATCCTGTCAAATAAGGTGTTTATACATATCGAGGACCCTAAGTCGACTTTTGAATCAAGCAAAGAACGCAGGTATGTCAAATGTCGTAAATCATAGTCTGCGGGATAGATATTCCCAGTTTACACTGTTTCTTTCTTTTCTTCTTTTTTTTAAATCATTGCCCTTACTTTAGGATAACATTATCCTGTATTGTAAAGACTTTTTCCAAACATAAATTTCACGCGGACAAACACCCTGTGAAACAACGATCTGTAAGTCACACAAATAGCTGTCCCGTGTGGGAATCTAACCCACGAATCCTGACATCGAAGCCAATACCTTGGAAACTGCGCCACGGAGTCATTCTCGTTTTCTCTTTTTAGGAGCCGCGTTGGAAATGCGCGGGCGCGATGACGCGCGTTCGGAATCGAGGATAGTACTCGTCTACCAGACGCCGCAGCGGCGCAACGCCGAGCTGATACTGCGACACTCCACAGCGTGTCCGTTCAAGACGCGTTTCAGCCAGATACTGTGCGTGTACTGCCACACCGAGTACGCTCTGCTGCCGGAGCTGAGGTACCACATGCAGAGCGAGCACGCGAACGCCGATTTCAAGAGCGTCTTCTACAGGATGAAGGGAAACCTGATTAAAGTGGACATCAGCGAGCTGGGGTGCAAGCTGTGCCGCGAGCCGCTGTCTGATGTCGAGTCTTTGATGCGCCACTTCTCGCAACAGCACGGGCTCCCCGTCAAGCTGAACGCGTGCTACGGCGTGCTACCTTACAGGCTGCGCGACGGCCGCTGGGTGTGCGTCTGCTGCGAGAGGAGCTACGGTGGCTTTGTAGATTACAAGCGACACGTCTCCTCCCACTACATGGACCACAACTGTGATAGGTGCGGCACGGCGTTCGTGTCGCGCCACGCGCTCCGCGACCACCAGCGCCAGGTGAAGTGCCACCGAGTCGCGTACAAGCCGCGAAACGGCCGCTCCACACGGCCGAGGGGAAACGCGGAGATCATCCTGCGCTGCTCCACCGCCTACCCCTTCAGGATGTGGATGAGCAACATCAACTGCGTGTTCTGCACGACCAAGACGAGGGATCCGACCGCCTTTCGCGATCATATGGCCACGCAGCACGCCGCGTACGACGTTCAAGCCGCTTTCTATAAGAAGCTAGGGAAGGCCTTCCTCAGCGTTGACATAACGGACCTCCGCTGCAAGCTCTGCACCGCCCCGATCGACGGCTTCGACCATTTGGTGGAGCACCTGATGAAAGAGCACCGGCAGCCGATCAGAACTGACGCCCAGCCTGGTGTACTGCCCTTCAGGCTGGGCGACGGTACTGTGTGGCGTTGCGCGATGTGCACAGACCGCTTCAAGGACCTGCTCTCCCTTAAGAGGCACACCCACGGCCACTTCCAGAACTACGTGTGCGACGCTTGCGGCGAGGGTTTCATAACCGAGTCCGCAATGGTAGCGCACAGCAGGACGCCCCACGAGAACAAGTACAGCTGCAGCCGCTGCGTGGCGACTTTCCGCAGCCTGATGGACAGGGACGCACACGTGAAGTCGCAACACACATCGACACCTTACGTGTGCTCGTACTGCGAGCAAAGGCCGCGCTTCGCCACGTGGGAGGCGCGCAAGCGGCACCTGCTGGAAGTGCACAACTACGGCAGCGCGGTCGACGGCTACGAGTGCGCTCTCTGTCGGAAGAGGTTCAAGTCGCGCTCGGGGAAATACAACCACGTGGCGCGCGTGCACCGCGTGATTAAGGACTCGGGTTCGGGCTACACGTGTGCCAGTTGCTCCAGGACGTTTACCAGCCAGCTGTTCTTGGACAAGCACGTGGCTAAGAAGCACGGCGACGCCTGATCTCGGCAACCGTACTCAGTCCCACCAGATGACACTTCGCGACTTTCCTTTATGTTTCCAAATCAGCGATCAGTTTGCAATTTCTGCTGTACTCATATTTTTCGACACAGTAAACTGCTGAGTTAGAATGCGCGAAAGGTAGTTGAAAGAAAGAAATGAGGCTTTTCTGTATAATAAATTGCAACTTGTACACTGCCGGGATTGTGACAGCACGTAGAGAAATTCTATAACCTGTTCAGAATTATGCTCAAAATAAGAAAATGAAGAATACTGTCACACAACATGTGCCGTAGCATATTTTATCCATAAATAGTAACTAAAAAAAATTGAATGTGATGCAAAATAGGCAGCATAGGAATAGTATTGTGTTTTATTTATTTATTTACGTGTATGTATATGAATAATTAATAAAAAATTGCCTCTATTGAATTAATGAAGAAATAAAAAAAAACGTTTACTCACATTTCTTTTATTTTGGTTCTTAATCAATAATTGGTCTATTAAATAGAATTCCATCCACAAGAATGAAACTTGTAATTCTCTAGTTCCGCTACTCTCTTATTTTCTCCTAGTTACCCTCTGACAGGATCTTCTTAAGTGCTTTCCTGTCGAGTTTGCCGCTTCCACCCATCGGAAGGTCGTCTAAAAACCTAACGCCGCCGGCGAGCCGCATCCGATATGAGACCTTGGTATATAAAATCCTAATGAATACAAGATTCCGTGCGCCATGGGGCATTAGAGTTTGGTTTGTATATACGAACTAATTCTTGCGATGGGATTTAAAAAAAATTCAAAGCCCGTTTTGAACTTTTGGCAAGTAAGAGCTAAAAACCATCGGCACCGTGTCCTTAGCATTTCATGGACTACAACGAATATTGTACGAATTATTTTTATCCCTGCGGATCAGTGTGCAGTCATATTTTTTGTTACAGGGCAGAACTGTAGTAAGAAATATTTTTTCATACACGTGAGAGACAGTGTCGGTGAAATTACGCTAAAAGCTTTACAAAAAATTGCGCCAAATCTAACCTAATTATCATAAATGAGCCTAAGCTACGAGAAAGAATGCTTTAGTAAATAATAATTAATCTTACTAGCTGCAGACCTCACCTGCCCGTCCACGTATTCGACCAGCTCCTCCGCTGTCGCTTTGTACCCTGGTCGAAGCACCACGAACGCTGTCGGGACTTCCCCGTATTCTAGGTGGGGAGCCCCAACAACTCCCGCCTTGAAGACAGCCGGATGCTCAGAAAGGACCGCCTCCAACTCCGCTGGGGCTACCTAAGAGTGGAACTGTGCTGGAGACGTAGAATTGTCTATACCGAAACATTTTTTATCGTTTTCAAAGGTTGGATAAAAACTAAGCAGTTCAGCCGATAGCCAGTTTAGATCACATGGACCGTGATACTCCTTTTTCACTAACCGGATTCAAGGCAAAAGAAACAAGTACATTTTAATTATCACAACACAAAACTGACCACCTCCTGATTTCTTTATAAAAAAACCTTGAAGACTTATGAGCATTAGCACTTGAGGGTCTGTACATTTACACGGGAATCGTCTCTCACCTGATAGGAGTTAAACTTGATGAGCTCCTTGATCCTGTCCACTATGTAGAAGTAGCGATCGTCGTCGTAATAGCCGATATCGCCTGTCTTGAAGAACCCCTCGTCGTCCAGATAGTCTTCTACCGCGTCACCGATATACCCTGCATAACAAGGCTACTTTAACTGACTAAGCCGTGTAGTCGGAGAAATGAGGCTTAAGATGTGGCAAGATGATGAGAGATTTTAAGGTGTTTTTGGCCTTAACTTATTAGAATTGCCGCGCCGTTGTATTTTTTTTATGGTAGCAACTAAGCTGGCGCTTCACCTGTTGCGTTGCCTATCACAGTTAAATCACCTATCTATCAAAGTATACAAACGAATTAAACAATAAAGACTTGGGCACTTACTACGCATTAGCAACGGTGACTTAAGGCAGATCTCGCCGCGCTGATTCGGCCCGACGGGTTGGCGAGTGTTCATGTCGACTATCTGACAAAAGATATTTTATTTTTTATCTCTTTAGTTACTTCTATGTAAATACAGTGAAGGATGGAAATATTGAAATTTTATATTAATTGATTAATGCCCGGTTCCTATATTCAACGAACGGCCGTCAGTTACATAGCTTCGTAACTTTCATAACGAATTGTAGATTAAGAGAACGCTAGTAACTCACTTTCCGTAGTTAATGCAACGACTCGTAAGGAAAATGCCTCGTTTTGTTAATATAGGAACCGGGCGTACATGCCTTTTATCTACAAGTCCTTATGAAAGTTACGAAGCTATGTAACTAATGGCCGTTCGTTGAATAAGGGAACCGGGCATAAAGTTTAATTGACGTGACGGTAGATGAACATTATACCTCGTATACCTCGGCGTATAGATGGCGCTGTGTGAAGAAATAGCTTTTTCAACCACTGTGATTAATTGCTTATGAGAAATTATATTGGATTCTCCCGAGCAATTCACATGGTCAGTGGCTCAGAAAAACATTTCGATATACATGGAAAAGTAAGTAGAGAATTATGTATTAATTATGAAATTACAAACATTCATATCATCAGTCCACATCCCAGTTAGCTAGTTTCTTGTTGGGAACCTTTAGCGTATCTTATTTAGACAAGTTGTCTGTTAGAAAACTATCGCTAGAATCTAATAGGTTTACGGAAGCTTACGGTAATTTCATTACTTTGATGGTAATAGCCCGTGACATTATTCCCACGCTGCCCGGCTTCGGGCCTTTAGGAGCGCGCTGATCACTGCATACGCAACCAGTCTCCGACATTCCGTAGACCTGACAGACAGCTTGCAGATTGGGACATCTGGAATAGTGACAGCGCCGAAATAAGATACGTTATTTGAGTTATTTCACTGTGGTTGAGCCACGAAATAGTCTTCGTTGTTACACGAATTGAAATACGAGGCAGGTCCGTCCGGGGAAGTACCACAGTAGGTAAAGGGAAGTACAACAGAAAGTTTTATACCTCTGCGTTTCGTCTGGTGAGTGGGGTAACAGCCCAACATATGAAATGGTGGGTACATCACCCACCCGGTTTTTGAAAATGTCCATGGATAGGAGTTCTCACTTAAAATCAGGTTTATGAAAGCCAGCTCATCTGCCACCTTCTCACATAAAAAGAAGGCTTCATTATTAAAAAGTCTTGATAATAATGCCTCTCATAACTATAGTCTGTTCTAACACTATAAAAGAGAATCAACCTCTATGGAACAAACAACTAAACCCTAACATAGTAACTAACTAAAACCTAGATAATATAACCAAAAACATGATTCATATGTTCTGCAGACCCGACCTAGCACGATGAATGATGGACAGCATTTCAAGCAAAAATCCCTGTTACGGTTATTAAAGTATTATATTGTTATCTGTGTGGTCGACCGCCTGATGTTGGAATTTCTCAATAGAGGATGAGGGTAGGAACTATAGAATAGACTGACCTGGCCTGTGTCGCTTTTATTAGCTCAGCGCTGAATGGCGTGCTGCTGGAAATCAAGCATTGGATAGAGGATACGTCATACTGTGCCAGTATTGAAGATTTGACCATCTCCGTGGCTGTTGCAGGAGCTAGTATCATCACCTGGATCTGAAAATTACGATACATTGATTTATCTGGCCTTTTTTTTTTTCAATTATAAAGCAGGATACCCTTAGCGAGCTTGTAGAGGATATTTCCTTGGAGGCAAAACCTTGTTTATGAAATTCTTTTATGTACTTAAACTCTCTCGATGCTCACTCACGTACTCAGTAAGAAGAGGACAGATGTTCAATGGATGAACATTCGGAGGCATGGTCCTTGTTCATAAACAGAAAGTCCCCAAAATATATTGCACACGACAGCAGCTAACAAGAAAAGAGAAAGAAGAAGATAACTAGGATTCTTGTACATTGTACTAGAATCCTAGTTAACTTTTGTTTTCTGCTACCGAGATCACATCATCCTGGAATCATCACAAGAAAACCACCAGTAGCGTGGTCTTGATTTCACATAGAGTTTCTTATCACGTGACAGATAGACTTCGAGTTTATAGCCGTTCTACTGAGGCAAAGTATTTTATTGGCGAATGACACATCTTAATATCTTAAATTTTAACTCTCGTTCTGAACAAAAACTCTACCTTATACTTCTGTATTGCCTCGAGGAAGCTTCTTTCGTCAGAGCTAGGACAGTACAGGACGGTAGAGCCCTGGTAAAGGGTGATTATTGTGTGCAATAGGCCATAAGAGTAGCACCATTCCCGCGTGATTAGAGCACTAGGACCCGCAGCGTGCGTTCTGAAAGACAACGTAGCGGTAAGTCCCGCGGCTAACTTTGTCATATTTATTTCTTTAATTAGCAACATTGTATATAGTAGCATATTGTATATTCAACTGCATTCAAAAAAGGGAGGGGTTTCTCAGAACTGACAGAGTTAATGAACGGATTTTAAAAATTCTTTTTGAATTGGTTTCCATTTAGCTCCCATATAAAATTAATTTGTAGACTTTGGACCACGGATATACATCAGGGAATTCATCCAAATCAAATAGAAAATGTATAGTGAGTGAAATGTTTGGCGTTGATTTTGTTTCTTGTCACTAAAAATGTACTTGTACTTTAACAACAACGAACAAGCAACAAATACATTTAATCCCAATATGCAATGGGTCATTACTAATAAAGTCTTTCATACCAGTTTGCAAAAAAGTACAATATAATATAATGACCGAATGTCGCTAATAACTTTTTATGTAGAAACTCGTCCCGTTTATCACCTTTGCTCGCCCGTGTCCCCTAGCGAGATGAGTAGATTGAGATGAGTCTTTGGGATGGCCTTCGGTAGACCGGTGGTGCCCGAGGAGTACAGAATCATGGCGGCGTCAGCCCAACCGTCCACGTCTATTGGCAGGAAGTCCTCAATGACCGCCCTTTCAGTCAGAAACTGACTGAACCTTAGCACACCAACCCACTCCTCGGCCCCGTCCTCGTATATGACGATGTTTCGCACTGTCCCGATCGATTTTATGGTATCCCTGTGCACTTCGTATGCCGAGGCGGAGCAGAACAGGACGGACGGCTTCGCCAAGTTCACCCTGTGGAGAATCGTTGCTGGAATAAAAGCGGAAGTAATATAATAGCGGTCAAATTTAAACTATCGTACTACCTAAATTCGACTTTCGACTATAGGAATATCGGACATCGACAAATGATTATAATAGTTATAAAACCGGCCAAGTAAGAGTCGGACTTGCGCACGAGGGGTTCGTACCATTATCTATACTAACGGCAAAAAAATCATGTCTGTTGTATGGGAGCCAACTTAAATACTTTTTTATTTTATTTTGTTTTTTAGTATTTGTTTTTATATCGACAACAAAAATACATCATTTATGAAAATTTCAACTGTCTGACGAACACGGTTCATGAGACATAGCCTGGTGACAGACGGACATACAGACAGATAGCCGAGTCTTATTAATAGGGTCCCGTTATACCCTTTGTGTACGGAACCCTAAAAAGAACGCCCTGTATCATTTGCTATCCTACTCACCGCTCTGTAGAGAGGTCTTTGCCCAGCAGTGAGACATATATAGGCTATTAATTTTTTTAATAAATATAAATATTTACAGAAGACAGGTCTGGACCATAAATCTTACTAGTCCACCCTGCGAAATTTTTGCATAGTACCGTGAACTATAACCCGATGATAATATAATATTTTGCAAATAAGTGTTAAATAACTATAACAATAATTTAGTCCATTTCGCTACATTTCAGTCAAACTAATTGACAAAGATGGCATTATCATACATTGTTTATAAGAAGTTTTTAAGCGAAGGTTTTTAGCGTGTAAAGCGGCAAAAAAGGCTTATAAAACATTGTTCGAATCATTAAATATATCATACGTTTGAAGAATTAATGAGGTAATCCCTGTCCGACGAAAAACACTTTTGAGAAAAAATATATAGAGATGATTCTACGCGTCCATTAATCAAACTCAAAGTCAAAATTTTATATAGACTTAAAAGCTCTAATTGGACGTCACCAAAAAAACTACCACTATCTACAATCAAAAATCTTATTGAAACTTTGTTGTTAGCACAAATAAAAAAAGTGTTTTCAAAAGTTTCTTATTTTAATTTTGTATCGATTACAAAAACACGAATAAAAACATTAAAAATAGACAATGAAAAAATTCAGTAAAAAAGACTTCAACGCGTGACATTTAAAAGATCATTTTTAGTTTATAATAAACATCCATTATAACTTGAGCTCTTATACTTATAGACTGGAGGTTTTTAATTTACTTTACATCGAATTCTTTGGTCGTTTTTGAAAATATTTAATTATTAAACCATTTCTTTTAACCTAATAGATTTTGATGCAAATCAACACAGATGTAAATTGACTGATCCACATTTGATAGAGAGAGTTGCGTCAGTGAAAATATATTCTATTCGTGTTTATAGAAACAGAAATAAAATTCAACGATACATGTTCCGTATTCTTTTACGACCTTTCAATGCGGAACCAATTGGAATTTGAGGTTGCTAGTGGTAAATACTTATAAAGGTGGCCACCTCGCGAACTGCCTCGCGCTTCGTTTTGGGTTTGATCCTATTACGGGGAAAGAGTTGTGCTATCCATAAGTAGTTGTTGCAAGACCGGTTGTATTTACGCGTATATTAAATCGACTGCAGCACAACCTTGATCTGTTCAAGTTTTTTTTAATGCTGAAAGTTGCCAAGCGAGCAGACGGTTCACCTGATGTTAAGTGAATACCGCCACCCATGGACATCTGCTACACCCGAGGGTTCCAGATGCGTTGACAACCTTTTGAAAATTTGGCTCCGGCCACCGCACTCACAAGACGAAACGTGAAAGTATTATACTTGCACTTTACGCCGGTCTTCTGTGAGGTCGTGGTACTTACCCGGACGAGCCTGCCCATTGCACGAGTGGCCCTACCACCGTCAGTACAACCTTGAACGGTTTAAGTGCGAGATTCGTTACTTAAATAAGGAAAAACAAAGTGAATGCATTCATACCCCTCCCGCCAGTGGTGTCAATGGCGGTGAAGGTCGCGCCCGCGCATATTACCCCGAACACGGTCGGCATGAACTCCAGCCGCTTCTCGCTGCACACAGCCACCACCTCTCCCTTTCGCACGCCCAAACGAACGAGCGAGAGCGCGATATCGGCGGCTAGCCGTACCAGCTCCCTATAAGTCAACGACTCCCCCGTCTCGGCGTTTATCTAAAAATATCGTTTTGAGTATAATTATCTAGAACAATGCAAAACAAACAAACAACGTTATCCAGTACCAAACTAAGCTAAGATCGTAATATGGGTGCTAGGTAAACATACTAAAACATAGTTTATATGGATAAACATACTAAAATATACTTTTCTTTTGATTGATGAAAAAATAAATTAAAACTGCACCCAGACACTACAGACACTTTTCTTCACAGCATTCTTTTCCCGCAATGGGGATCGAACCCACCCTCGGGCCCAAGGGCCAGGTTCGTCGACCGGGTCGGGTTTGCAAAAACAATCGTGAGAATGATACAAAAAGGAATGTCCCACAAAAACTTCTATAAGCACTGGTAGAGTCACTAAGATCAGATGAACCGTCTGCTCGCTTGCCAACTTTATCCTTATATAGCTACCTAGTGCCTCACTAATGGTAAGCAGCCGTAGGTAGCCGAGGGGGATCTTCTTACACTAAAATGGCCAATAATTCTTACATAAAATAAATAGTACCTGGAGGACCGAGCTTTGCTCGGTGGTTTTTTGTAAATTATGTATTTTGGAAATAAAAAAAATAAAAAATAAAGAAATCTGGTATAGAAAAAAAGTAAAAAAAATAAGTGTGTAAATGATCGTGATACGAACCACGGCCGTCTGTTTTGGGGCCGCCCGATTACCGGCCGAGCTATTATAACATTTTATTTTGCGGCGAAATTTACTGTCATATTCGAATAATATTTTTCATTCCCTGAAAACAGGGATAAAAGGACATTATAAAAATAAAACCAAGCCAGATCGATTTTTCGCCCCCGAATCTACGCACATACTAAATTTCATCCGAGATTCCGATTATATATATACAAGAATTGCTCGTTTAAAGGATAAGAGAATATGAAATATATTTAATTTCTCTGGGCAGGTTTTAATAGCAGGGTTAAGTCTTATTCCTTTTTTTTTAATGGGTAATAATAATTAACGTTTTAAGTGACTATGCCGTCACTGTTTTCTGGTTAAAAAGCTTTTTTAACTTTAGAAAACAACAGTAATCTCTATAAATTTCAACGTTGAATTACTTTAATTTACATTATTGTTACAAACCGACCCGCCTCGGCTGGGGTTAACTGACAAGTTTTAAGTCCACACATGTACACTTCGAGTCAAAGTCACATACCTTGGGTATAACCTTGACATTTGAAAATGTTAAACTATATTTAAACCATCGGAAATGTTATTAAAAATACAAGGACAGTTAACATTTGTATAAATTAAAAAATCTTCGTCTAATCTATCGTTGATCCACCAAACTAGGTTTCTTGCCAATAACATGATTCTTGGTTGAGTATTCTACAGTTTTGCGAATCATAAAAAAGTTTATTGATTGCATCGACTCAGGTGGCTAAACTTTTACTTGTAACTGTTTGGTATATAAAGTTCGACTGGAAACCCCAACCGGTTTCTGTGGCTCACATCGAAGTTACAAACAGTTGGGCAGACAGACGGACAAAAAATTCAACACGACAAAAAGACAAAGCATACATACAAAATATAAAAACTGGCCAAGTGTAAGCAGGACTTGCGCACGTAGGGTTCCGTACAATTATCTAATCTATATCAAATTAAATCAAATCAAATCATTTATTCATCTAAGTAAGAAATTTATTTGGTCTATCGATAGTCATTTTTTTTCGCCGTTTTCGCCGTTTCACAATGAAGTTCCGCTAACGAAGAAGAACTCCGTAGGCATCGTCTTTTTTTTAATTTGTATTTCGAACAATTACATTGTTACATATTACATTATTTTTTTTAGAAACAGCTTAGGAGCGATCATCTCATTCCCAGTGGTTGTTATCATTTATGTATTCATCTATATTATAATAACCCTTTTGTAAAAGTTTTTCTTTAAATAATTTCTGAAACCTGTTAATAGATTGTGTTAAGTATATTGGCAAGTACCTATAGGTTGTCTGTCAACCGCCTTGCGTTGTATGGGAGGCTCCTTAAATGCTTTTTTTTTTGTTTTATTCTATTTTTAGTATTTGTTATTATATCGGCAACAGTATACATCATCTATGAAAATGTCAACTGTCTTACTTGCACGGTTTATAAGATACAGACTGGTGATAGACGGACGGACAGACAAACAGACTGATAGCGTCTTAGTAATAGGGACTCGTTTTGGCCTTTCGGTATGGAACCCTCAAAACCCTAATTATCATCTAGCAGAGTGGAGACTACAAAAAATCGGCTCAAGCGTCATGCACAAAGTTGAATGTATTAAAAAAGATGTAACTATGTTTACGCAAAGGATTTATCGCGTTTATTTTTGAGTTTCGTTTATGTTATTTTTAAGTTTCGTTTCGAACCCTTCTCAGCGTTCATGGTCAAGGTAAAAATAAATGCGATAAAATCGTAAACATACATGTAATGTGAATAAACATGTTCTTGTTCATGTTATACAGGGAGGCTTTTCTAAGTGTATCCATTTTTTTTTATTAAATTCTAGACATAACTAATGTTATTTTAAATAAGTTTATTACAATAAACGATTATACCACCGAAATCATCATTAGAATCCCACCGGCGTCATTATAAAAGCCACCCTGTATACACATACACACATAATTATGTTTTATTGTATGTATCTGATTCAATCATATGTAATGTACATGCTTGAATCAGATACATATTGCAGAACCTACGTAGTATACGTTTCTTTACGCCATTGGTTGCCCAGGAAGAGATCGCTATGAAGCGATATGGCCCCCAAATTGCACATTGCACAAATTTGTTGTTCTATTGTCACTTTTATGTATACTCTTATTTGTGGTGTAAAATAAAAGTGTATTATTGTTTAGTATCATTCATTCGTTTAAAATGTTATATATTCCAAGACACACCATTTTTGCACCTGTTTAGCATTAATAATAATTGAGGTTTAAGTCAAAATATATATAACCTCATTTAGCTGACCTACCATTATTAGTAAATTGTCAAATGTCAACCAGTACACTTATCCGTTATTATTAACTAGCGAGCCGCCCCGGCTTCGCACGGGTGCAATGAATTATACATATAAACTTTCCTCTTGAATCGCTCTATTTAGTAAAAAAAACGCATCAAGATCCGTTGCGTAGTTTTAAACATCTAAGCGTACATAGGGACATACAGACAGACAGCGGGACGACTTTGTTTTATACTATGTAGTGATGCACAGCAAAGAGACGTTTGTTTACATTTCAAGTGACATTTTACCACAGATATTCACTTGTTTTGCCTTCCCGGAACCCCTCCACTAACACTTAAACTTTATGGTATGGTATTAAAGTTCAAATTGACTTTACGAATTATTATTACGAATCTTTTGTACGGGAATGTAGAAAAGTGTCGTTTTTAGACTTTTTCAGGTAATTTTTAAAATTTTTCTCTCCGTAAGAACCATCTTCCTAATTCAAGGAATATTATAAAAAAATAATTAGCGAAATCGCCGTTCACGCGTGATGGCGTGACCAAGGGAAATATGGATTCATTAGAGTTCGTAGCTCGTTCATGGGACGGTGCTTCTACATCACAATCCCAGTTATTGCGCAAAGCCTGTCTATTAAGGTTTGAGAAATTTATTAAAGAAAAGATTTTTAAGGGATATTATAGTACAAATTCAAACATAAAACACGCTCCCAAGCTATTTCTAAAAAAATTGTTAGAGGAAAAAGATATGACAAAAAATAGGATACCTACGGAGTTTCAATCAAACGGACACAACATTGTAAACATGTTTCTTTATCAAATAATGTTAAAAAAAATATGTCCCGCTGAGTTTCTTTCGCCGGTTCTTCTTAGTTTTTCCGAAGCGGCGGTAGTAGTATTTTTTGACAATAAGTAAGTAAGTATAATGGTTTTTTATTGAATAAAGATATATTTGAATTTCACTTACGATCGCAGCAGTGTCACCATAGCGGCCATATTGTTCCATCAAATGTTTGCCATAATGCAAATGCGCGGGAACCCTAAGTGAATTACTGTCACCGTAAACGTAAAGTGGATTCTTGAGCATCTCTCCAAATTATGCGAAAAGGACTTTTGTTTTTTTAATCGAGCTCCCGCGCTCAGGACACGATCATAAGAAATAATCGGTGGTGAAAAGCCCTCCTCCTATTATTTAGTCAAGGTCAGATATTTGCATTCGGCGAGTTGTTCCTGTAATCATATATTTATTTTTTCTCATGACGACATGTCTCAAAAACTGCTGTTTGTTTCACTTTTATGTTAGGTTTCGTTTTTAAGTAATTACTATGTTATACAAAATGTTAATGATTTTACTTGAAACTGAATACTTCGCATGTAGTGTTTACCTGTAGTCAATTGTTCATTTAGCTATAGAACTATAATGCACATTACTTATATTTTATGTGTAAATGTAACAATTGCTGGTTAACCAAATAAATAAAAAATGAAATTATAGCCACTGTCTTATTTAAATTTTGGTACACCTTATTTTGCATTAAACGGTAAAAAAGCAACAAAATATTGTTATCACGTTATGCAAGGAATGAAATTGCTAAGTGGCTCTACCTCAATGCATAATTAAATCAAATCATCCGACTTGATTGCTTTAAAATCGGTATTTTATCCTTACGTAATCCGTATGTAAAAATTTTAGGGACATTTTGTGTAGATCGGTATAAATTGAAACGTATTTGTTCCAATCGGAATTAATTTAAAATTAATTTAGAAATTAGATGCTAGCATACTTTTTTTGAAATTTAATTTAATTTATAGTCCATATTTATAACTGGGATGGGGAACTGATGGTCTAAAATATAGGCGTTGCTTAGTTCCACTGCGCTTTTAACCTTATATGATGTTGTATATTCCATAGATTTTACAAACCCGTGTGGTGATAAAATAAAGTTATTTTTATTATTTATTGTACCTACGTAAATATTATTTATTTAGCAATAATAATTTTATTAGCGCCGAAAATATTTACAATATTAACTAGTAAACTGGCCTACTATGGCCTGCCACAACAGGCTTGTCAAGGACATATCACTTTCAATCTTCCTAGATTCCACGGACCTAAAGCCCTACTGCATATGGCCAAATAATTGTAATAGTATCTAATTAATTGCTCAACACAACTTACGCGTCGATATGTCACAGAACCAAAAAGTTAACACACGATATTGAAAATTTAAGTTCGCAATGGAATAACCAATTCATATCACGAATATAACAGTTTCCTGGCAAATAGTCGACTGTGAAATGATCAGTCCGACTATTTGACGTAGTATATACGGTGGCCGTTTACGAACCAGTTTACTAAGGTTGCTTAAACTATGTATTTCATTATTTACAACATAACCTGTTCCACCCACATTGTTTATTTTTTCGATTTTCTTCGTGTTACGCCATAGTTCTAGGCGATTGTGCAATTTGGTGAAAGAGACGGAAGTGCGTAACAGGAAGTGGAGAGTAAAGCGTGTAGAGACGCCATCCATTATTTAATACAGTACTCCGCGACAATTATTGCACATCGCCCAACAGAAAGAGACCATCGGCCAAGTTCGGCTTTGCAGAGCGTTATCCCTGTCGCACACGGTACTAGCAGTACGGTCGGTAGTATATGACAGAGATGACGCTATACGAAACCGAAATTAACAGAGTGTCTCTTTCCAAAAGTTGATGTGCAATATTTCTCGCCGAGATCTATAATTCATATTATTGTCTTTTGCTGGCAATAGGAACGGCATTTTAGTATTGCAAATCTGACTATAATATGACTAAAATATACGAAACTATCTTTATAATAAAAAAAAAAAAATTTTACTTATAAATTAGTAGCGACCCGTCCCGGCTTCGCGCTGGTGCAATGTCTCTTGTATCTTGTATTAACTGATGTTTTTGCTTTCAGTCCCGAGACTATTAAAGCTTCATCTGACGCAGAACCTGTGGGCTAGCCAGAACCCACGGGTTTGGGCCCTCCGCTGTGGGTAGGGCCGCGCATGTGCTCATGCGTGCGTTTAATTATGGTGTGTCATGTAAGGTGCAATGTAATACACATAATCGTAAACCTTCCACTTGAATCACTCTATCTAATAAAAGAAACCCCATCAAGATCCGTTGCGTAGTTTTAAAGATCTAAGCATACATAGCGACCAGACAGACAGCGCGATGACTTTGTTTTATTAGGTATATGTAGTGATACCGAATTTTCCAATATTTATCGGATTCAAATTTTAAGATACCCTTTTATTAAAAGTTGTGTAAATAAATAAATAAATACATAAACAAACCATATACATGGCCTACCATAACCTTATGTGCTAGCGATTTACTACCGTCTAGAAAGCTATATATTTGAAATATATACGCCTTCCCTAAACTTTTCAAATCCCTTAAATATGACATTAGTAAAATAACTAAGGCCGTGTCCATGTAACTCTTTACATGGTTAGAGGACAGACTGTGGCTAGTTTTAAATTATTAACTTCGTGTCCGATCTAGGTAAGATTCGACTGGGCCTAGATTTTTATTAATGACTAGCGACACTCCCCGGCTTCACACTGGTGCAATGTATTATACATAACCTTCCTCTTGAATCACTCATCTAGTAAAAAACCGCATCAAGATCCGTTGGGTAGTTTTAAAGATCTAAGCACACATAGGGACAGATAGACAGCGGGACGACTTTGTTTTATACTATGCAGTGATGCACAGTAAAGAGACATTTACGTTTCAAGTGACATTTTACCACAGTCACTCACTTGTTTTGCCTTCCCGGAACCCCTCCACTAACACTTAAACTTTATGGTATGGTATTAAAGTTGAAATTGACTTTTAAGTATTATACGAATCTTTTGTACGGGAATAGGGATTGTTGTTTTTAGACTTTTTCAGGCAATTTATTAAATTTTTTCTTCCATAAGAACCTTCTTCCGATAATAACAAACACAACAAAAAAAAAGTGAAATAGGTCCAGCCGTTCACGCTGATGATGGCGTGACCAAGGGAAATAGGGATTCATTTATATGTATATAGATTATTCCGACTACAAATCTGACACGCAACAATCTCACACACACACACGCACACACACGCACGCACGGACGCACGCACGCACGCACGCACGCACGCACGCACGCACTCACGCACGCACGCACGCACACACAGGCACGCACACATACACACACACACGGTTTAAAGTTTGAAATTCAACTATTTTATATGAACAGGTTTTTATTACTTCAATAATTTCTTTCAATAAAAATGACTGGACAGTTATTTCGTATAAAAAAGGAGGCTGCGACCCTTGTAACTAATCCGCAGGCAAAGACTGCTCTGTACATAAGAGTCCTTTGTCCAGCTGTGGGACAAGAACAGGCTCTTACTTTACTTAACCTATTTTTTTTATCGATAGCTTAACCTAACTTATGTATATAAAGCACGGCCTAGATCACTCTGATATAAAGCACATTTCCATTTAGTGAAATAATTTTCGCTACGTACAAACAAACAATGGCACATCTTTAAAATGTGAGTACAAACGGTTACTGCCGAAGTCGTTTTCGAAGTTTCTTGATCCAAACAGGTATTTTTGAGGACATTCAACAAATTTAAAATTCATTGTGTGTCATATTGAATAGGAATGTTAATTTTTTATCAAAAAAAGGATAATGCTAAACACTAAAGCTATTATGTTTCGCATGATATATAGCACGTCTCATCGGGGCCATGATGATACTCTGGAAGTAGTAAGGTTTGGTTTGGTTGAAACAATGTTTAAAATATTATATTAACGCCCGGTTAAAAAATAAATATATTAACGCCCGTTTTCTGAAACACTGATCATCGTAGATATTAACTAATCAGCTGTCAAGGGCCATCAGGTAAGCCTAAGTGTATAATTCTAAATTCTACGTAACAACATTATAATTTTTTCTTTTATTGATTAATCTCATTTTTAATTAATACCGTAATATTAAATTTTTTCTCTTTATTTCGAAGAGATGGCTCATATAGGATTTCTTCCGATACTTTAACTTAATAACGCTTTTAATTTTTATCATCATAATTATCAGCTATTACAATAAGTAATGAAAGATGTTTAATAAAAAAAAATTATGCTTGTCCTCAATAAATTCTTCGACATTATAATAGTCCTTTTTCATTAGTTTGAAATAAGTTGTTTGTGGATGTCACTAACCATTACTAATATTATAAACAAAAAAGTTTGTATATATGGATGGATGTTTCTCTTTCACGCAAATACTACTGAAATTGGATTTTAATGAAACTACATACAATATAGCTTACACATCAGAATGAGATATACTTATTCGGAGGCAAAATATTACAACTTTTGAATGCTAAAACTACTTAATTATAAAAAAATATTGTAGCATTATTCTTCCCGATCATTCATATGTATAATAGTATATTAATATCTACTTAAGACATATTTTATTAAGTCAACAATCACTTCACACTTACAGTTATAAACTTTCTAAATTTTATTATGGCGTTCTGCTTGAAAGTTGTGGCCAGTTAAATTTATTTCGTTGAATAATTTCCTAAAGAACGTCTCTATGAAGCTATTAAAATAATCAAAACGCGCTAGTTGATGATATACGGAATTTGTTTACACTATGTCGCGTAGGTACCTTAGTTCCCTAGTGACGGTTTACATAATTTTATTTTCTTCGTACTATATATATTTAGTATAGTACCGGATGGCTTTCAGGGTGGTAATACAGATTTGATTTGAAGGATAAGAGGTTTTTTCCCTTTAATTCAAAATTAGTTACAAATAATAGCTTACAAACAACTCTTAGAGTCCGTCAAAATTAACGAATTATTGAGGTTGTGTGATTCCACATATAGTGGAGCTTGATAGATAGCAATAGCTTCCCCTTTAATAATAGAGGATAAAGAGGGGCATTTAAAATTCAAAATTATTTTATATCTGGGGAACCAAACTGATGCCCCAGTACAACCTTGATCAAAAGTTTTAGATGCATCAGTATAAATCATATTTCAGTTTTTCCAATTTTC